CGATTAATAATCGATTAACCAAGGGCCCTAATCGATTAATAATCGATTAATATTAAAATATTAAAAATTTTTTTTTTTTTTGACCGCAGATTGCACCAAATTGTTTTTGATCATACATTTAGTTATAGGAAAGTCTTATTTATTGTTATTATCATCAAAAAATTAATACAAATTCTTCCAAGTTCGGAGAACACGTGACCAAAAATTCACGGCTCTGGGCCGCATTAGATAATTTGACCAGAATTATGGGTCGATAATTTTAATCGATTAACCGATTTTTGAGATACCTTAATCGATTAACCGTCTTAGTCGATTAATTAATCGATTAACCTTAATCGATTCCAAACTCTAGTTTAGGATTCTCCCAATCCTATTAATATTGGATATGAGATGGGATATGGGATAGAATGGGATTATGACAAATGGACATGGGATATGGATTTGGGATTTGGGTGGGATGGTTTGGGATTCTCCCAATCCCATTTATATGTATAGTGGGATGATTTGAAAAATTATTTAGTGTAACTTTTTTCTTTGCTCATGTCACCTTCATTTCACGATTTCCCATTACAAGTAATATTAAAGCAAATCGACATGAGACAATCTATTAAAAAAATTCAATTTTTTTTAGAAAATTAAAACACACCGAGATCGAATATCACTGGGAATTTAATTATCCCAAAAGGGTAAGTTTTTCCCTCTATATAAGAAGTGGACAGTATGATTAACACAAAATATTTATATAATTAATTAAAATTCATGACAATTTAATTAATTTTTAATTTTTTAATTCATATCATTGGTACAAATATCACTTATAAGTAAATCGAAGATCATAATAACTGAACTAACCTTACGAAACCTTACGATCTCTCCAAATTTATTAATATCTCATCATCTTATATTTCACTAAAAAATAAAATTCTGAATGATAAAATTAATAAAAATACTTTGTCTCGTTATGAAAAAGAACAAAAACATTCTTAAACTTCTTTTATATATTGTGGTTTAAAGTATTCATTCATATAAATATATTGATTAGAATTCTCGTAATATTTTCAAAAATAGGTTTCTATTCTCCTTACACTATAATAATATGTAATTTCTTTAAATTAAGATTACAAATTATTTTAAGTTATTTTATTCTTATATTTATTTTTCGCG